ACTGATTAAGAGCCAGAAAACTCTGAACCCAGCTCCTGGATGTTGATATCCAACAGAAGCTGTCCATCTGTGTATGTTCACTGTCACCATCCGTTGGGCAGTTCTTCATACTGTGGTCCCTGCTAGTGGCAGTGATGCTGGGAGCTGGGCCACAGGTATTTCTAATAACAGCAAGGTTACCCACAGTGGACTGGTTCCAGCAGAGCGTCTGGACTAAGACCAGGAAGAAATGCCTGGCAATGGACTTCTGAAAATTAGCCAATGAGAATATATGTAACATTTTTATTTTAAGCTCCCTATTGTCCAAAAATGGGAGCTCTGGTGGCATAGTGCCTAAGGCACTTGACGGCTAACCAGAAGGATGGTGGTTCAAACCCTCCAGCCATTCCTTGGAAGGAAGGTTGGGCAATCTACTTCTGTAGTGATACCGCCTCAGAAACCCAAGGAGGGGTCGCTATGAGTCAGAATTGACTTGACGGCAGTGAGTTTGGTTTTGGGTTTTATTGTCCAAAACAAAATAAATAAATAAATAAGAAAAGTAGCATTGTTTCTACATCCCTGTAAACCTCTTTACTGTCCAGCTTGGTAACAGAGAGCTGGTTCTACCCACCTCCTGCCATATGTACTCTGCTATGACGTCACATGCAATGCAACTTTGGAAAATTCTAGTGTGCTCTCAGGAGACAATGAGATTGGGAAAGACAACATCTGTGTTGAAAAATCAAATCAATTTGTGATCAATTAATCTATTAATTCTTGCCCACATCTGTTCTGACCCTAGCCACACCTGCAGACTCCTGCCTTTGACCCCAACCATCGGTGCTAGGTCAGAGGTCACAAGGTAAAGGGCCTTCAGACTGCCAAGTCTGTCCAAGACCTGACACCAGCCACAGGCTTGGGAGTCCCTACGACACTCCTACTTCTGACCTGCTGGCTACAAATTTTGGGGTTTCCCACTATTCCCTCAAGATGTCAGCCATAAACCTCAGGACCCACTCACATCTGACCTACTGACTCCCACTACTTCCATGTTGTGTTGTTAGGTGCCATCAAGTGGCTCCAACTCATAGTGACCCCGTGTACCACAGAACGAAACACTGCCCAGTCCTGCACCAGCCTCACAGCCCTTGCGAACCTGAGCCCATCATTGCAGCCACTGTGTCAGTCCATCTCAATGAGGGTCTTCCCCCTTCTGCTGACCCTCTACTTCACCAAGCATGATATCCTTCTCCAAGGAAGGTCCCTTTTGGTAACATGACCAAAGTACGTAACACAGATGCATCCTCACTTCTAAGTAACATTCTGACTGCACTTCTTCCAAGACAGGTTTGATCATTCTTCTGGCAGTCCATGGCACCTTCAGTGTTCTTCACCAGCACCCTAACTCAAAGACCGCAACTCTTCTTCCGTCTTCCTTATCCATTGTCGCGCTTTCACATGCAGATGAGGTGACTGAAAGTACCTTGGCTTGGGTTAGGCGCACCTTAGTCTTCAAAGTGATGTCTTGGCTCTTTAACACTTTAAAGAGGGTTTTTGGAACTTCCATGGGTTGAGTAATTCACTACAACAACTCACACAACTCACACAACTCAGGAGATGGCTATGCTTTTTCTCTTTTTTTAAAAATTTTTATTGTGATTTGGGTGAAAGTTTACAGAGCAAATTCATTTTCCATACAGCAGTTCATACACGTTTTGTTTCCTGACATTGACTGCAATTCCCCACAGTGTAACAGCTCTCTTGCCACTTCCTCCCTGCAGTTACCTCTTCCCTGTGTCGTCCTTTCCTGTGCCTGCCTTCCTCCCGAGCTAGCTCCCTGTGCAAACACTGTCCTTTTGTTCTCTCATGATTGATCCTTCTAAGGAGTTCTCTACCTGATAGAAATGTTCACCCTAAGTGCCTGTCTATTGTTTGGCTGGAAGCCACAGGAGTGAGCTCAATTCCACAGCTGAAGGGTAACTAGAAGCTTAGGGGTCTAGTAAGTTAGGGGTCTTACGAGGCTCTATCAGACCAATAAAACTGGCCTTTTTTCTGGTTTACTGAGTTTTGCTCCACATTGTTCTCCACTCTGTGCAGGATCTCCTGCACTGGTCCCTTTCCAAGTGGCTGCCCATGATTGCCAGGCACCATCTAGTTCTTCTGCTCTCATGACATATAGACTGAGGATCACATGATCTACTAGTCCCTTGGACTAATAATTTCCACGCATCTTTGGTTTTCTTCATTCTTCTTTGTTCTGAGTGAGGAGAGATCCATTGTTACATCTAGATGGCCACTTGCAAGCTTTTAAAACCCCAGTCACTACTCACCAAAGTAGGATGTCGAACAATCTTTTTGTGTAGTATGATATGCAAATTGAGCTTGATGTCCCCAAGGGGGCTATACTGATGATTCCAGTTTTATTGCAGCAAAAATGACAGACCGGATGAGCAGAGAGGGTGAGGTCCAGGAGGCCCCCAGTGCAGAGCTTCCACCAACCAGGGCGCCCGTGGAGCATCCGGGTCCGGAGCCTTTACTGGGCCCTCATTACACAGACATGACTAGTTGAATCATGTCCCCCTCGCCCCTGAGGTTAGCTGATAGCATATGGTGGTCCTTCTGGCTTGGCTAGCCCCACGCAAGAGCCATGCATGAACATAACCCCTCAGGTGTGGTCTGTTGTTGTTGTTGTTATGTGCCGTTGAGTTGGACCCGACTCATAGCGACCCCTCCTTGGGTTTCCCAGGCAGTATCACTACGGAAGTAGGATTGCCCAACCTTTCTTCCGAGGAGTGGCTGGGGGGTTTGAACCGCCAGCCTTCTGGTTAGCAGTCAAGTGCCTTAGGCACTATGCTAGCAGAGCTCCTACAGGTGTGGTCTCGATTCATCAAAAACACTTCAAAACCAAGTCAAACAACACTCACTGCCATCAAGTTAATTCCAACTCATAGCGACCCCCATTGGGGTTTCCAAGGCTGTAAACCTTTATGGAAGCAGACTGCCTCATCTTTCTTCCGTGGAATGGCTGGTGGGTTCAAATCACTGACCTTCTGGTCAGCAGTCAAATGCCTTAACCACTACACCAACAGAGCTCCTAAAGATACTTCAATCATGGCATAATTCCAAGGTCTTCCAGATTATCTCTCAGGAATCAAGGTCAAAGATTCTTTGAGTAAAGCTAGATTCTTCAAGGAGCTTTGGTGGTGCAGTGGTTCAGCGCTTGGCTCTTAACCCAAAGGAAAGTTCAAACCCACTAACCACTACAAGGGAGAAAGATGTAGCAGTCTGCTTCCATAAAGATTATGGCCTTGGAAACTCTATGTGGTGGCTCTAGTCAACTCTACAGCAATGGGTAAATTCTTTACCTCACAACATCTTTTTGTTGTTGTTGTTTTTGCCATCGAGTCGGCCCCGACTCATAGCGACCCCTCCTTGGGTTTCCGAGGCAGTATCACTACGGAAGTAGGATTGCCCAACCTTCCTTCCGATGAGTGGCTGGTGGGTTTGAACCGCCAGCCTTCTGGTGAGCAGTCAAGTGCCTTAGGCACTATGCTACCAGAGCTCCTTCACAACATCTTAGTATTATTATAAAAACAGCTTTGAGCGCCAGCCCTTCCGAAAGGGTGTGGGGAAGCATGTTGGGAAAATACGAACCACACTTGGAGAGCAGCTGAAGCAAGTAGGCAAGCCAGACGGAATGTTTTATGGCTTGCCCCGATTTTACAAGTTTAAGCCCAACCTAAACCTGGGTGGTGCAAACGATTAACCACTCAACTAACTGAACAGCTGGTGGTTCAAACCCACCAAGAGGTCCCTCGGAAGATTTGGAAACCCTCCGAGTCAGTTCTGCTGTGTAAGTCCAGGACTGCCCGCGAGGTGCAATTAGCCCAGCCAAACCAGAAACCAACCTCACTGCCCTCGAGTTGGATCCGACTCATAGCAACCACTCTTTGGGTTTTCAAGGTGGTATCACTACCGAGGTAGATCGCCCAAGCGTCCTTCCCAGGAGTGGCTGGTGGGTTTGAACCTCCAGCCTTCTGGTCAGCAGTCAAATGCCTTAGGCACTAGGCCACCAGAGCTCCCAATTAGCCAAACAGTACAACAAAAACTGGGCCTTCAGCACAGGGTCACGTGGGTTGCTGGGACCTCCCAGCCAGCCTCCACCAGGGAGAGTGAGAAAAGACCCAGGACTTTGCTGTCAAGCAATGAGCCCACAACAGAAGCTCCCTCCTCCCCAATTCCCACGATACTTCGCAGGGGCAGTCTTGACTGGAACTCCAGCCTCCAGACACCAACCAGGGGGGCTTCCCACCACACTGGCCGTGATTATCCTAGTGAGCAACATGGGGAGAACAGGGCCTGCCAGTCGGTAACTGAGACTTCAGCTAACGCTTCCTTTCTGTACTCAGAGCGGTGGCAGAGTGTGCGTCCGGGGCCCTCTGGAAGGTTCTGGGGAATAATGAATAAAGGCGAGTGGAGAATGCGTAAGGCAGGAAGGGTGCAAGCTTGAGGCCAGCAGCCGGCTTTTAGGCTCCTCCCAGGCCCAGAAGAGGTGGGATGAGGGGCAGCAGAGGTCCCAGCATTTCGAAAGAAAAGAGCTGAGTGGCCTGGGGCTTGGGGAACGTGTCTAGACACTTCGTTTGCCTGGCAAACACTGTTTAACAAAGACTGTGTTGTAGCAGGTGATGCCGGTCACCGAGAGCGAGCGGGAAGGGTTAAGTCGGGGAAGCGGGCTGAGTCCCTGTGTGATGCTTGAATGAAGGAGTGAGTGAGTGAATGTAAGGGAGGGAGGGACGGAGTAAGCGGGTGAGCGGTGGCTGGTTCGCTGGTTGATCGAGGGGGCCTCAGCTCCCCCGAGTCCAGCGCAGCGCATCCGGCAGGGGTCGCCCCCGGCCCGCGGGCCGGCGCCCTGCCTCGGAGGGGGCGGAGCAGCCGGGGGCGGGGCTAGAGACGGGGACTCGAGCTGCCTCCAAACTTCCGGTGTCTGCTGAGCGCAGAGCAGCGGCGGCACAGCTGAGGTTGCACCCGCGGAGGACTCGCGGGGACTTGTGGCGGTGCAGCCATGGTCAAGATCAGCTTCCAGCCCGCCGTGGCCGGCGTCAAGGGCGACAAGGGTGACAAGGCTCCCGTCCTTGCCCCTGGGCCGGCCGCGGAGATCCTGCTGACGCCTGCCCGGGTGAGGGGCCGGGGGCCCCAGCGGGGGCAAGGGGGCATCATCCCAGAGGGAGGAGGGGGCTTGCAGGAGGCCCAAAGCCAAATTCCGAAGAGTGCCAGGGGTCCGAGGGGCTGTTTCCCAGGGGGGAAGCGCTCGAGAGTTCCTCTAAAAGGGGTCCCGGGCGCCCAGCCCCAAAATAGACGGAAGGGGCTGGCCCGAAAAAGTTAGGGGGATGTGGGTGGGGGGATGCATCTGGTTCCAATCACGGGGGAAGGGCTGTGAGTCGCGGCCCCGGTTGGGGGATGGGAGGGAGGTGGATGGTGTGGCCCCAAAGTCTGGCTCCTGATTGGTTGGAGTTAGGCCGGGGGAGGGGGTCCGTGGTTTGGTTCGCTGCCGGGGGGTGCGGGAGGAGGGGAGGAGCTGCCGGAATGGGCCGAGCAGAGAGTGATCTTCGGGAAGAGAGCAGCCCCGGCCCCCCACACAAGCTGGCTGCCGAGGCCGGGGGTCCACGGCCCACCCAGGCCCTGGGTCTCCCGAGTGGGCGCCGCCGTCGGGGCCTCCCCGCACTGCCCGCGGTGGCAGCATCTCCCCAGGGCCCTCCGGTTGCTCTCGGCCGGGCTGTGTGGGCTCCCCTCCTCCCGGCCCTCGAGCCGAGCGCGGGGGGCGGGGAAGGCTGCGGAAAACTGCCTGAGCTGCGTGGATTGTGCCCCCGGGAGGCCCTCGAAGGGCGGGACGCGTGGCGCGGGGAGGGACCCGGGCCCGGTCAGCCGGGTTTGGGTTCCTGCAAAGGCGCTGCCGCTGGCAACCTCGGGGTGCACCGAGCCCCGTCTGTCTGGTGGAGGAAGGACTTACAGAAAGTCTTTGTCCGTTCCCTCCGCCTTCCCCAAGATAGGCTTCTGAGGACTCTAACTCCGAGCCGCTACAGTCCGGGGGCCTGGAACGGGGGCGCTGGAGAGGGACCTTACAGATAAGTGTCCCAGCCAGCATGAGCCAAGACCCTGCGTGATGAGGACTTGAAGGGCCGCGGCCGAGCTCGGCTGCACTTTTGTGGTCGGTAATGCAAGCAACTCCCCACCGCTGCGAGAACCACCCGTCACCTGGCTGAGGGACAGCTGTGCACCCAGCGGCTGCAGCTTAGTCTGTTGCTTAGATGGGAAGGAGGTGTGCTCCATGACGGAAGACCTGCTGTGCAGCTTTTAAAAGTTTGCACGGGGTTCTGCAAACCTCTTGGCTTTGCAGATGGGAGCCAGCCCCGTCCTCTCACCGTGGAAGGCGGGTGGGAGCAGGAGGCATTGCTCGGGTCCCCACTTTCTCCTCCTAGCTGCTTCTCCCGAGGCCACCCGCCCAACTGAGTTTTGGAGCCAGAACCCTTCAGCCAGAGACCAGTAGGATTTGGGGAGGGAAAGGATGTCTTTCAAACCCCATGAGAAGGCCTCCGGAATTTTGCAGGAGTGACACTTTGTTCCCACTGCAACCTGATGGGTGTCAAGAGGGTGTCAGAGCCCCACGTGGTCCTGGCAGTAACTGACATGGCGTCGTCCCCCCCCCCCCGCGCCCCCAGGGGGGATGGGAACAAGAACCTCTTCCTGTGAGCTGTTTGTGATGGCCTTGAGCCCCCTCCCCCAGCCGCCTCCCTGCCTGCTTAGCTGGGCAGGGTCCTTCATTCCCTAATTGGCAGGGAGGAGCCAGAGGCTGGCGGAGGGAGTCAGATGGGTACCTGTGTGACTAGCTGCTTGTTGGTAAACCCAAAGGTGGCGCGTGGGGGGGGGCTTCCGGTGTTGGATGCTTGATGCGGGCCTTTGGAGTATTGGGAAGGCGTGGACTTCTGTGAGCCCAGGGGCACGTGTCCACGGCAGCCCCTCTCCTACCCCCTGCTGCGGGCACAAGGCCATGTCACAGAAGTAGCTCAGGACAGAGTGTGGACGGTTAGGGATGGCAGGAGGCGGGGGTTGGGGGGCAGGGGATCTTTACTGAGGCGGCGAGTTGGGATTTTGTTCCTTATGGTGGGGACTCGGGAACACTGGGCTGGCTGGAGCTGACCGGAGAACCGCTCCTTGGTTTCTGAACTGGGTCCCCAGCTAACGGTGGGGGAGGGGCTGCTTGCGGGGAAGGCCTGCGGGCACTGAGCCCCTCTCTGGCTCCTGGAATAAGCCATGGACCGGGGCCCAGGGGTGGGGGAGGGGTAGCACCCTCACAGTGGGGGCTGTCCCCTTCAGAGCAGCAGCTGACACAAGGAGGATGTTGTCCCCAAACCGGGGCTGGAAGGAAGGGCCTTGGTGGGCCTGCGGATGGGGGCGGAGCCCAGCGGCTTCCAGCTGCAGGCCTCAGCACGTGGTGCTTTGACTCTGACAGTGAGGTGGGGGGGCACCCCACAGCAGCGCTCCTGACAGTCCAGCCCTGGTCACTGTCCTCCGGAGGCCCAGGACCCGCCCGTGCCCCCCAGCTTGGTGCCCTGTTCTGCACAGCGCACACACACTCACAGGCAAGGGTGGGCACGCACTCATGCACAGGGGACAGGACTGCCAGAGAGTCGTTTTCTCTGGAATTTTCTCCCTGGGTTAGCCTCTGATTAACAGCCCCTGTGTACCCCTCCCGCACCGCATACCTGGGGATCAGGTTTCGCTTTGTGTGTGTTCTGGCTCTGGGAACATTGGTGCCCCAGGCGGGCAGGTGGGCAGGGCCCCGGTGCCCATCTCCCTAAAGGCCAGACACCTGTCTTCAGGTGGCTTTGCTCTGGGTCCTTCCACTAGGGAGAGGGGCTTTGGAGGCCATTTGGGGTCTGCCCACAGGGTGGGGGGGGCCGCCTTTGGCTTCTTGGCCTCTCTCTTCTCAGCATGCCTCAGCCAGGCAGTGAGCAGGAGTTTCTCTTGGGAGGGGAGGTGTTTTCTCATAAAAATCACAGAAGTGAAGCCAGCCACCTCCCCTGCACTCTGGAGCTGCAGCCCCACCCCATAAGGGTTTTTCTAGCATGGAATTCCCCTCCAGTTCTCCCTGAGCCTTTGTTCTCTGGAGAAGAGAAAACCTGCCATGCACAGCCGAGAAGGGAGTGTGAGGCCAGAGCTGGCCTCCCCGCCTGGCTGTACGAAGGGTGGACACTGGGCCAGCCAAGGGGGGTCCCCGCTTCTCAGAAGGGGAACGCAACTGCAGAAGCCACTAATGCTCAACCCGTGGGCCATGTCCAAGGACACCCAGGGAACATCTGGAATGGAGCAGTGGGTTCTGTGTGGTCGGGGGTAGCCAGCAGGCGTTTGCCCAGCCTCCACCCCCCCTCAGCAGGCCTCCGTCCATCTGTCACATACTCGCATCACTGTGCCCGTTGCCCTGTGGTCCAGAGCCTGGCAAAGATGCTGGGGAGGTGAGCAGATGCCAGCCGGTGCTGGGGCTCAGAGCCCCACTGACCCCCCCCCCCCCCCCGCAGCCTGCAGCGGGAGTGGAATCTACCTGAGTTCATTGGAACTTTACTGCAGAGGGAGGGAGCTGGGGAGTTCTCTCCTCGCGTGGGGTCTGCTGGTTAATGCTGGACTTGGCTGTTTTCCCAGCTGCCTTTGCTAAATCATGTCATGGGCACATGGCCCCTCTTGGGGTCCCAGGATATTTGCTTGTGATCCCCACGTGCGTGCCGAGTGAACAGGCATTTTCACTGAGAGCCAAGTTTTCTTGGAAACAGCATGCCATAGTTTTCTCTTTCAAAATGGAAGCCCCTACATGCCTGGTCACCAGCCACTCCTCGGAAGGAAGGTTGGGCAATCTGCTTCCATAGTGATACCGCCTCGGAAACCCAAGGAGGGGTTGCTATGAGTCGTGCCTGGCAGTGGGTTCTGCTCCGAATTTTCTTGGGGCTCAGCAGCTGAGCTTCAGAAGCCCGCTCAGCCTTTCTTGAGGGTGAGTCAGGCTGTCGGGGGCCTCCAGCCTGCAGGAACCCCCGGGACTGGGAACAGTGCTGACTGTGGACCCCTCATGATGCTTGTAAGGATGTCAAAGTGTGCGGGCTGCTCCGGGCCCCGGTGTGAATTGGTCATGTGGTTTGGAACCCAGTAGGCAAAGACAGTGGTGCGGGTGAGGTTCTAAGTCAGAAGCAGGGACGTGGTGCAGTCTTCCTGGCAGCCCTAGGCCTGCTTCCCTTGCCACCCTGCTGAGCCATGACGCCTCTGGCCCCAGGTTGGTGGTGTTCATGGGGTAGCACACAGTGGCTGTGGCCACTTGCCATTCCCTGGTCCCAGGCACTGAGGAATCTGTCACTACCGGTCCAGGGGAGGTAGAGGATCCCTAGCTTCTATAGTGCCTCCTGTAGACACATGTGAGGACAGTGGGCATGTCCAGGGGGCCCTGGCTGGAGGTTCTACCCTTGTCTGTCCACCCTCTACTGGGACCACTCAATCCCTACCTCCTCTTTGAAGCTGGTTCTCACTGCTTGTCTCCACTGACTTTCTTTCCCGTCCCATTCCCCAGCTACCTAGAAATACCGCCCCCAGCTGGCAGAACTACAGGGCAGAGACAGACAGGTGGCTGGGAAGCTAGAGGTCTCACTTGGTCCTAACAGTGCTATCACCTGGTCCTTAGAGTAGGTCTTGCCTGGTCCTAACAGTGGTCTCTCCTGGTCCTAACAATAGGTCTCCCCTGGTCCTGGCAGGTCTCACCTTGTTGGTAAGTTTGAGGAGCGGGCCCTCCGGCTTTTGCTTGTAGCCTGTTTGCTTTTCTCTCATCTTCCACAGCTCTCTTGGCTCCTTCTTGGTTGTCTGGACCCAAGGAGCACTGGCCCTACTCGGCAGTGTCTGTCCGTATTGACAATAAAGATCAGCTATTTTTGTCTAGCACTATATCCTTTACAAAGGCTTTCAGCTCTGTGTCTCTTTTAACCCCAACATAAACCCTGTAAGGGAGCTTCCGCATTTTCTAGGAGAAGCCTGAGAAGGGGGTCTCGCCTGCTCCCTCTCTGTCTGATCCCAGGCAGACACCCCCGGCCGACCCACTCAGTGAGATCTCAGTCCATGTCACGCTGGAGGATGGAGCTGGCCTGACTCCTGGCCCACAGCTTTGCCTAAGTGCCACCTCTCCCTGACCATTGAGTTTGCAGGCGCTTGGGGCGGCTTGTTTTATGGGGGGCAGCATCGTCCCTGAGGGCCGTGCGAGCTGTGGCCGTGTGTCAGCGTGGTCCATGTTCTGGGGGCCTGGCTCCCCAGGCAGCCACTCAGAGCGGCCAGGCCAGGTGCTGAGGCCATACTTGAGTGATCACAGGACCTGGGGGTAGGGCCAGGCAGGGAGTGGCCCCGGCCGGCAGGGGCACTCAGCCAGTGAGGGCAGCTGGTTCAGTCCCACTTGTGCCCAGAGAGCTACTTGGAGGGCAGACAGTGTGGTGGAATAGGGTGGGGGGGAGGCCAGAGTGCCCCTCCATCTCATTTCTCCATCCTGTGGGCAGAGGGGTTGGCCTGAGTGGGTGCGAGGGCTGTGCTCAGTGAGGGGGCGAGTCCTCCAGCCATCCTCTGACCTTTGCCGGAGGGGGCAGTGCCACACAGGGAGGCATCCACACTCTGATGGGGCTCTCCGCTGTGCCCCAAGGCCCAAGCCCCATACCCCAGTCTGCTCTAAGGCAAAAAGACCAGGGATGGGGACCGGAGCTGGTGCCACCCCCACCTGGCCAGCCCCCTGTGCTGCACTGGGACTCAGTCCTGGGTGACGTGGACCTGGAGTGTGTCCCCAGCCTCCTGTCACCCCCTCCAGGACAAAAGGACAAAGGCAAAGCAGCTCAGACCTAGAAAGTCGGGCTGGAAAGGCCTGAGAGCTCACTTGGTCTGACCTGCTCGGATTGCAGGTGAGGAGAGAGGCCCAGAGGCTGGGAGTGGCTGAGCCAGGGCAGGAAGTGCCCCCCCCCCATGCTGCTTCTTTGAGGTCGTGGTGGAGGTCGGGGTTCTTGGGAACTGACCTCTGACCCCACTCTTGGCTGTATTGGGGCACCCTCTGGACACCAGGGAGGATGGGGTGAGTGGTGGACGCAGAAGCAGAGACAGCCCCAAGGCTTTCTCTGACATCTCCCAGAGGGAGGGTTGGGCTGCCCATGGCCAAGGTCACAGCGTGGTCCAGGGCCAGAGTCGCCAGCCTGTCAGTCCAGCGCTCCTGCGTGAAAGCAGTTGCATTGGGTTACATGCTCTCATGCTCTGTTCTCTCACCTTCCAGACACGGGGGGTTCCAGTTGAGTTGACTGTTTCTTAGCAGCCTCCTGTCCTGGCCGCCTCAACGGGCTATGTCTCACTCCCCACAGAGCTCCCTCCCATAGACCCCACTTCTCATTGCCTGCTTGACCCAACCTTCCTGTTGGCTGGGCCCTGTTAGGGGCTACCGCTGTCCCCCCACAGGCTGGGTTCTGTGCTCAGGGTGGTCGCAGGCCCAGTGCTGCCCACCCAGAAATAACCTCCCAGGCCCCATCCTCTGGCCTCCCAGAGTCCCTGTCCCCATCAGCCACCCACCTCTTCCTGCCACGGCCTCCCACTGCCCCCATTCCAGTCTGTCTTGTGTATCTCAAGAGTCATCCTTGGCCCCTGGTGACCTGAGCCTTGGCTCCCAGCCTGCCCAGCACATCCCAGTCCCTGCAGAGTCCGAGGTCCCATCCGTTCCTTCCCCATTTTATGTTGCAAAGAGATTCCCTGGTCACTCAGGATAAGCTCCCCGAACGGAACAAGGAGACTAATAGCATGACTGATAACTGATAGCACACAGGGCCAATTCATGCTGCATCTGCTTGATCCCAGTAGCTCTGGTAGCGTAGTGCCTAAGGCACTTGACAGCTAACCAGAAGGCTGGCGGTTCAAACCCACTAGCCACTCCTCGGAAGGAAGATGTGGCAATCTGCTTCCGTAGTGATACTGCCTCAGAAACCCAAGGAGGGGTCGCTATGCAACTCGAGGGCACATAACAACAACTGATCCTGGCTGGTGGTTTCATGTGGCCTGGGCAGGTCTCGGTTTCTCTTTAAGTGAAAGGAAGCGGGGAATACCCAGACAGGTCCCCTTCCAGACGAGGCCGTGTTGTGCCCCCCGTGAGCCCATGCGCTGTGGCCTGAGGGGGGTGAGAGGGCTCTGGGGTGTGGGGCCGCCCTCTGGGGCCCCAGCTGACCCTGACTGTGTCCACAGGAGGAGCGGCCATCCCAGCCCCGCTACAAGAAGGGCGGCTCCGTGGGCAGCGTGTGCTACCTGTCCATGGGCATGGCGGTGCTGCTCCTGGGCCTGGTGTTCGCGTCTGTCTACATCTACAGATACTTCTTCCTGGCCCAGGTGAGGCTTGCAGGACGGCCGGCCCCTGTGAGCTGAAGGGAGGGTGCCGAGTGTGGGAGTAGGCAGCAGGCTGGGGGATCATGGAGAGAAGAAGCCCCCAGAATGCCCCTCCGGCAGGGTGAGTGCCCAGGTGAGCCCAGGAGACCAGCTCCTCTCTCTCCCCCTGGGCCTCCTGGGACCAGGCCTACCCACACCACAGCCCTGTGTCTTGGGGAGCCCAGCATTTGTCCCACGAGAGAAGGAACTTGGGTGGCTGGAGATGGGCTGGGCCGTGCCCTCCACCTTCCAGGGACCCTCCCAGGGGCTCAGGGTCAGGGTGGGGAGCCTGCGTAGTGACTGCAGTAGCCACACCTGAGCCTCAGCAAAGAAGGAGGATGCTGCTGTCCCCGCCCTCCTGAGCCCAGCCCTGAGACCTGAGGAGTGTGGACATCAGTCGAGGGGCTGGCAAGAGGTTGCCACCTTGGACCCCACATAGCCACCATCACAATAGGAGTCTGGGCCGGGAGGCTGGTGGTAGGAACAGCTCTGGGAGGAGGAGGCCCGTGAGGGAGGATGTGGCACCCTGGTCTCCCAACGGAAGGTGGTTAAAAGCAGCTTAAAGCAGTCAATGCAAGCCCAACCAGCTTTTCTAGGTGGTTGTCAAAACTAGAAGACAGAGTGGCTGGGAAGTGGCAGAGTGTGACCCTGGTGGCTGTTCCTGCCCTTGAGCCCTGGGCCTTCCCCTTTGTTGTCACCTGGTTTTCCGGGATGGAAATCCCTGGAGGTGCATTTGGGACTTTGTCTTAAACCTCAGTTCCCCTTCTGTCCAGTGCCCCTCTTGCTGCCCCCCCCCCCCCCCCCGCCTGCTGTTTCTCCTGTGTGGGACAGCACAGTCCCAGGCCACAGCCCTCCCCCACTGCCCACGCCGTTTCCTCCCTCTCCCCAGCACGAGTCTCGAGTCCCCTCCCCAGTTCCCCAGGAATGGGGACACCTTGGAGCAGCCCCTGCCTGGGCCCCTCTCCCCCGGCTCACGGGCCCTCAGTGATCCATCCTCCTGGGAGCTTTCACTGAGAGAGAGAGGGCATTCTCTTTGTCACAGGCCAGTCTGTCCTCAGCATGAATCTGGAGGGGCCCCTGGGAAAGGCACTGGGTGGACTGGCTGGTTCCCCTGGCTGAGTCCGTCCCCTCCGTCCGTTCAGGGTGGCTATGATGGTGGGTCATGGGGGAGCAGTCACACTGTTTGTCAGGGTGTCTCTTGGGGCCCGGGAGGCCAGGAAAGGTGAAGGGGTTGTTCTGAGACTGGATGCTGACTTAGAAGTAGGAATAGCTGCCTGTCAGCTCCTGGTCTGCAGGGTTCAGGGCCCATGGTGGCGGGAAGGCTGGTGGAGAAGGCTCCGTGCAGGGCCTCAGCCTGGCCAGTTAGGGGGCGGGGTCTGGACTAGCTCTTGCTTTCCCCAGAGGACTCCCACCAGCTGCTTGCTCGATGTTTGCCCCTCCCCATGCCCTTCATGGACTTAAAGACTTGGAGGCCGGAAGGGGCCTTGGGGGCATCTCACTTTCAGATGTGGACACTGAGGCCTGGCATGGTCATCTACCTAGGCCCTGGCAGACCAGCTTCTGCTCCTAGTCTCCCAAGGCCCAGCTGGTCTCCCGACCGCAGCTCCCGGCTCTGACCTACTGGCCCCAGCGTCTCTATCTGTGGAATGGGTTTAGTGTCCTCACCCTTCCTGCCAGCCCAGGCCATCAGGGTGGTGGTGGTGGTGCCGAGGGCACTGTGTGACCCGTGTTTCTGTCCCCTCTCCGCCCTGCTCAGCTGGCCCGAGATAACTTCTTCCACTGTGGGGTGCTCTACGAGGACCCCCTGTCCTCCCAGATGCGCACACGGATGGAGCTGGAGGAGGACGTGAAGATTTACCTGGAGGAGAACTACGAGCACATCAACGTCCCAGTGCCCCAGTTTGGGGGCGGTGACCCCGCCGACATCATCCACGACTTCCAGCGGGTGAGGCCGGCCACTGGGTAGTGGGTTGGGGCAGGCAGCCATGAGAAAGGAGAAGCCACCGTCCCCGTGTACATCCTGTGTGTCTCTGCTGTGGTGTTAGCTGGGTGTAGTGGGTATCTGTGGTTTCGTTCTATCAGGGTTTTGAAGACGCTGCTGTTACTGCAGATCACATTACTGAAGCAAACTAACTGTGGTTGACCTTCCCCTCGGCCACCTGGCAGCTTCAGATGCTGTCTCTCTTGGGTGAGGCCAGGGTTTCTCGTTTCACATTTTATCGAAGCCTCCCAAAGAGGCCATTAAGTGCCCGTGTCTTAATGTACAGCTGAGTGGGGTTTTATGTAGGTACACAGTCACGATTGTATTCAACCACTCACTGAGAGGTTGGCGGTTCAAATCCATCCAGTGACACTGTGGATGGAAAACCTCGTGACCCGCCTCCATGCTGGTCATAGCCAAGAAAGGCCTACGAAGCAGTTCTGCTCTGTCACATGGGGTCGCAGTGAATCCGAATCAACTTGACAGAAGGGGCTTGGCTCCCCACCCCCAATAGTTTATTGTGATTTGGTTGCAGATTTGCAAAGCAGATTTGCTTTATGCTCAACAGTTCATGCACGTTTGGTTTCACGGCCCCAATTAGAACCCCCAGCCATACAAAGCTCTCGTCACCTCTTCTCCCCGGGACCAGCCCTTCCCTGTGCCCGTCTTACCTGTGCATCCCTGTCTGTCCATCTTTGCCTCTGGGAATACTACCCGTCTAATGTCTCATGGCTGATTGACCTGAGGGGTGCATCTCCCTGGGGTATGTGTTCTGCTTGTAGGTCTTTCTGCCGCTGGACTGTGAGCCAGTCCACAGAAGTGAGTCCATTTCCAGGCCCGAAGCATAACCTGAGGCCATGGTCTTGGATTCTACCAATCTCTATCCGACCAGTAATTCTGGTCATTTTTGTGTTTTTGAATTTTGGTCCATATTTTTCCTCCCACTCTGTCCAGGATCTCCAATTTGGATCCCTTTCCAAGTGGTTAGCCATGGTAGCCAGGTACCTTCTAGTTCTTCTGGTCTCAGGATTGTGAAGGCTGAGGTCCATGTAGTCTATCATGTGTGGGGGTTGGCTTTTTTGCTGATTGTTATTTACGTAACCCACATGAGGATCTGGAATCTTGGCAGCCCTCTAGAAAGTTCCCTCATGCCCCTTCCCTGGCAGCACCCTCGCCCAGAGGTGACCATCCCTCTTTCTTCTGTCACTGGCACCGGGATTCAAGGCCCACGAGATGGAGTCGCCCAGCTGCCTCCACCCAGCACTTGCCCCCCAGAGCTTTGTGGAGGCTTCTACAGCAGAAATCCACAGAGGGTCTGGGATGTAATGTCTTGCTGCAGGCCTGGGCTTTTCTGCAGGAGCAGCCCGAGCTCAGGCTTGGCGGGATGCATAGCTGGGACGTCACAGGGCCCCCTGAACTTTATAAGCCCATGAGATGAGCCCTTGGATCAGCCAGGGCACTTGGAGTTTGTCATCTGCTGTGTGGGGCCTCCTGCAGACAGGCCAGGAGAGGAGCTAGGAGAGGGAGGGCACCCAGTTGTTGAGGACTCTGGGTGCACCACGCCCCAAGGGTGCTGGCCAGGAGCCTTTGGCACCCTGCCTGGGTCAGCCTGGCCTGCGGGACTGAGCGCCATGTGGCCCTACTCCCGTGCAGGGCCTGACCGCCTACCACGACATCTCCCTGGACAAGTGCTACGTCATCGAGCTCAACACCACCATCGTCCTGCCTCCTCGCAACTTCTGGGAGCTGCTCATGAACGTGAAGGTGGGCTGGGACTGGGTCCTGTCTCCCCCTGCCCTCTGAAGGCCAGGCCTGAGCCGGGGAGGGCCCTGGCAGGAGTGGGGGACTGGCCATTGCTGATAGCTGGGCCCTGCTCCCAGACTGGCTCCCTTCCTGCCTCCCCCTCCCCCTCCCCACCCTGGAGTCAGCCGCCTCCTTTTCTTCTCCCCCTGCCCACGCTCCCTCCTCCTCCCTCCTGAAGAAGCCCATGGCTGCCTTCCTTAGCCTTCAAGGCCGTACCCAGTGGCACCAGTGCCGGAAGATAATGGCCCTGACAGAGGAGCATAGCCCCTGGGGCGGGGACCAGACTTACAGCATGCCGTAGTCCACAGCGGTGCAGGTTCAGGTGCTAACATAGTCAGGAGGTGCCAAGACAATACAGGGGCTTCTAGGGGGTCTCTGGATGAGGTGGCGGGGGGCCGAGCAGAAGGACAGCGCCGGGAGTAGGGGCGTGAGCAGAGGCTGCAGGAGGGACCTTGGTGCTGATGGGCCCTGCGGCCCCTGCCTTTGTAGAGAGGGACCTACCTGCCACAGACATACATCATCCAGGAGGAGATGGTGGTCACGGAGCACGTCAGCGACAAGGAGGCGCTGGGCTCCTTCATCTACCACCTGTGCAGTGGCAAGGACACCTACCGGCTACGGCGCCGTGCCACCCAGAGGCGTGAGTGCCCGGCCCTGCCCTGGGTGCCAGCTCCCCCCCTGCCCCTGGCAGCGTCGTGCCCCTCTTTTCTTTTTCAAAGAGTGTCAACTAGCATTACTAACCCTCCTACCGATGATGAGACAGGCACAGAGAGGTTAACAATATCCCTGGGGTCACATGAGGGGCCCTGGGTGGTACAAAGTGGTAACAAACTCGGCTGCTAAATGAAAGGGTGGTTCAAGTCCCCCCTGAGGCCTGGAAGAAAGGCCTGGTGACCTGCACCTGAAAACTCAGCCGCAGGAAACCCCGCGGAGCCCAGATCTCTGACACACGTGGGATTGCCGTGAGATGGAGTGGACAGCAGCTGGCCCGGAGGGTCACACAGCGGGAGGTGGCCAGTCTGTCAGCCCTGCTCTTTGTTATTTCCTGCGTCCTGGGGTCCAGCTCCAGTCTGGGGCCGCGGTCCTGTGTGCTTGGCCAGCCCCTGGGTCACTGGGATTTCTCTCTCCCCTCCCAGGAATCACCAAGCGAGGGGCCAAGAACTGCACCGCCATCCGCCACTTCGAGAACACCTTCGTGGTGGAGACGCGCATCTGCGGGGTGGTGTGACGTCATCCCGCCCAGCCTGCCCCGCCCCAGTCCTCTCTCTTTCTGGCCTCTCTCTGGCCGCCTCGGCCCCTCGCTTAGCTCGTACCCTGGACACCTTTCCTTGCGTGTGACATGTCTCGCTGTCCCTTTTGGGCCCTGCCCCACCTTCCTGTACCGGCACCATGGCCTCTCAAGGCCCCCACTCTGCTGACCTCCAGGTGTGTGTGTGGAGGGGCGGGGCAGTGACGACCCTGGGTGAGGGGATGGGACAAGGTGGGGTTGGAGAACCGTTTCAGAAACGCCTGCACAGTGGGAAGGTCCTGTACAGCACACAATCCCTTAACCTGGGGCTTGGGATGAGGAGACGCGGCCTGAGGCCGGGCCCACCCAGACCACAAGGAAGGTGGCTGTCCTGGGGCCGCCTGGCCTCCATCAGTGCCTTCACCCACCAGCAGGAGCCTTGGGCTTGGGGGTGGGGATGAGAGTCAAGCACAGTCATTCTCCAAGTGGAACCAAAGATGCAAGGAGCCAGGGGCCCAGCTGGGCCCAGGAGCACAAGTGGGTTCCTTCAGCCAGGGCCAGACACAGGGTGGGCCGTGGTGGGGCAGGCTGAGGAGGGGCACGTCTGGGTCCTGTCCACGCAGCCCTGAGGCTGAGCTTTCAATGGGAGTGAGCTGTGCATGCAGTCAAGTCGGTGGAGTTCATTGCTTTCTTGAGCTTAGAATGGTTTGTTTTTAAAGATGAACTGCGGGAAGGGAGAGCCACCTGGTACTTGTACACCCTGCCGCCCCTCCTCTGTTCTGAGATGTCACCCCCTCTGCTCAGGGGACACAGCGGTTTTCCTTTTATTTCTCCTTTTGCATGTTTTTACCGTCGGTTCAATGTGTACCCATTGGAGCTGAGCCTGGGAAGGAGGGCTCAACGCCTCCGTCAGACTTGGTGCTCCCTGGAGACGAGACTGAAACACTCTGTGTGTTCTCTCAAGTAGATCTCTTCAGAAGCGTCAGTTAAACAATAAAAGGTCTTTTACTTCTGACTCTGATTTAGGGGCGGCAGGGAATGTTGGGGTGCGTGTGGGCTGGAGACGTACCTGCAGCGTGGCCTGTGGAGGAGTGTCGGGGCAGAGTGGCTCACGTGGGTGTCGGTGAGGGCAGCAGGCAGGGGAGAAGCCAGCAAGCCTTGGGGCCCAGCCCCTGCGGAGAAGGGCTTACCCCTGGTCCAGTGAAGGATGTGCCCCTGAAGGGTGTACCCTGTATTGTTCCCTTCAATCCTCACAACCCTCTGGGCCAGGTAGGGCCCCCATGTTCCAGGTGAGGCAGGGGTAAAGGGCTCCAGATCTTCAGTAACTTGCTCAAGGTCATGCTGCTTTGGAGGACCCGGAGAAACCACAGCAACCTTTTACACAGCACATGACATCATTGTTGCTTGTCCTTGAGTAAAGGGTGGTGCTGGGCTCACCATTGCGCCTGGGCAATTAATGATCATTCTTGGTGGTTCTGGATTGCGGTTTGGCATGATAGCCACATTCTGCAGGGAAGTAATAGTGGGTCGTAGCCCAGAGGCTCGGCTGAAGTGGACCCCAGAGATCTGCCCCGTGCTCACATGTGTACCTGTATCTGCACTTTGAGGAATGTTCAGCCTCTTGAGCACCCTGTGGAGGAGACAGATGACCAAGTGCAAAGACACTTGGTTCTTAGATCTGAAGACAATCTTGCAGACATGTCCCCGTTTCCTTATATGAAGCCCAACATCAAACCCATTGCCGTCAAGTCAGTTCTGACTCCTGGGGACGCCGTGTGTCATAGTAGGACTGCTCCATAGAATCTTGGCTGCAGTTTTTACAGAAGTATGTTGCTGGACCTTAGTGAATGCTGCTGGGTGGGTTCGAACCACCAACCTTCAGGTTAAACTAAAACTAAACTCACTGCCGTTGAGCCAATCCTGCATTGGGATTGCAGCCCCCAATGGGTTTCCAAGGTGGCAGATCTTGACGGAAGCAGGTTGCTCAAGTTAGTTCAGCACAGGCCATTGGTGCCACCAGGGACTTACACGAGCCAATCTAAATGCAACCCAGTTATCACACAGCAACAGGATTTTTTTTTTTTTTTTAGCAACAGCAGCTTTTGGGGGTAGGTCAACGGGACAGAATTCCCAGGTAACTCCTGAAGAGGAAGGGGCCATTGCCATCAAGTTGATTGCGTTGGGGTCTGGGTTTGAGACGTGGGGAGGGAGGCCTTGGTAGTGCAGAAGGTGGATGGTTGGCATCCACCCGGAGGTACCTTGGAAGGAAGGGCTGGCAGTCAGCTTTCCTGGACTCGGCCACTGAGAACTGTGGAGCCCAGAGGAATTGGTGGCAGCTGTAATTGAGAGCTCCCGCTTCACGCCAGCTCCCTAATCTTCCCCAATGCCACATCGATGTCCTGTGAGGGAGACGAAAGCCAGCCGGCGTGGAATCGACTTGGAGCCCACGGGTGTCAGTGTGCACCTGTGCTCCACAGCGTTTTAAAGGCCGATTCTGCAGTAGATTAGCAGGCTTTGATTCCGAGGTGCCCCTGAGTAGACTCAAACTGCTAGCCTTGCGGTTAGCACCCAAGTGTGTGCCATTTCCAGCACTCAGGGACCCCCATGAGGGATGGAAAAGGCTCAGGGCAAAGACACCTTCTTAGATCTAAACAGAGTCTTGGAGATAACACCCGTTTGCCTTGTATTAGCTAATTTCCCTTTCTTACCAGTTTAGGTGACGTGTATCTGTGTTTCTCTTTTGCTTTGTGGTTGTGCCACATACCTATTGTTAAGTGCCATCGAGCTGATTCTGACTCAGTGACCCCACGTACAGCAGAACGAAAAAACACTGTCCAGTCCTATGCCATCCTCACCGTCCTACGTTCAAGCCCGTTGCTACAGCTATGACATCATTGTTAAGGGTCTGCCTCTTTTTCAGTGGCCCCCTACCAAGCATGGTGTTCTTCAGGGACTGGTCCTTCCTAACGGGACCAGAATACATGAGACAAATTCTGACCATTCTCGCTTCTAAGGAGCATTCTGGCTGTACTTCTTCCAAGACAGATTTGTTCGTTCTGGCAGTTGGTGGTGCTTTGTTCTCTGCCAGCACCACGACTCAAAAGCATCAGCCCTTCCTCGGTCTTCCTTATTCGTTGTCCATCTTTTGCATGCACATGATGTGACTGAAAATACTGTGGCTTAGGTCAGATGTACCTTAATCCTCGGAGTGACATCTTTGCTGTTGAACTCGTTAAAGAGGTCTCTTGCAGCAGATTCGCCCAATGCAATATGTCACGTGATTTCTTGGCTGCTGCTCCCATTGGCTTGATTGTGGGTTCAAGTAACAGTATTTTCTCCGTTTATCGTGATGTTGCTTATTGGTCCAGTTGGAAGGATTTTTGTTTTCTGTATGTTAAGGTGTAACCCGTATTGAAGGCTGCAGTTTTGATCTTCATCAGTAAGTGCTTCAGGTCCTCTCCAATGGCAGGAAGCAGGGTTGTGTCATCTGCATATCGTGGGTTGTTAATGAATCTTCCTCTGATCCTGATGCCGTGTTCTTCTTCATATAGTCCAGCTTCTCGGACTATGTGCTCAGTGTACAGATTGAATAAGTGTGGTGAAAGGATCCAACCCTGGTGCACACCTTTCCTGATTTTAGAACAGTGTCCCCACGTTCTGTTCTCATGGCAGCCGATGTATAGGTTCCACCTGAGCATAATTAAGTGTTCTGGAATTCCAATTCTTTGCAACGTTATCTGTAATTTATTATGATCTACACAGTCAAATGCTTTGTACAGTCAGTAAAACACAGGTGAAAATCTTTCTGGTATTCTCTGCCTTCAGCCAAAATCCATGTGACATCAGCAGTGATACCTCTCATTCCACATCCTCTTCCGAATCTGACTTGAATTTCTGGCAATTCTGTCAATGTCCTGCTGCAACCGTTCTTAAATTATCTTATGCAAGAAAATACTAATCACATATCTATGGTTCCCAAAATAGTATCTTGTAACATTTTGCTTGGATTTAAACATAAAAGTGGTACAATCTATGGGTATGGACTTACTTTTCCCTTTCAACCTTACATATTTCTAAGATTTTTCCATGTTGATGGCTATAAAAAAAACCAAGAAAACCAAATCCACTGCCATTGAGTTGATTTCGACTCATAGCAACCCCCATTGGGTTTCTGAGGCAGTAAATCTTCACAGAAGTAAATTGGCTGGTGGGTTTGAACCACCAACCTTCTGGTTAGAAGTCAGATGCCTTAAGCACTGCGCCACCAGAGCTCTGTTGTTGTTGTTATGTGCCGTTGAGTCAGACCTGACTTAGCGCGACCCCTCCTTGGGTTTCTGAGGCAGTATCACTACGGAAGTAGATTGCCCCATCTTCCTTGCAAGGAGTGGCTGGTGGGTTTGAACCGTCAGCCTTCTGGTTAGCAGTCAAGTGCCTTAGGCACTACGCTACCAGAGCTCCTCCAGCGCTCTGTAGGAGTCATTAATCCATTTTTACTGCTGTATATTAATCCATTCTGTGAATACTTAATCTAATGACTCAGTCTCCTCACAGTATTTGAGTTGTTTCTGAC